CGCGAGGTCAGCGCGCACACACCTCTCTCTCTGCGTCTGCTCTGTACAGCGAGCGGCTGAGAGGAGCAGCGCCTTCAGTTAAAATAGATATTATGTTGCTTCTCTAATTTTACATGCAAATATAGCCGAAATCACAGCACAGGAATTGTCTTTGTCTTGTCTTTTCTTATGTGCGTTTCATTTCATCAGACGATGGCTCAAATATAAAGCAGGATTTTTGTGCCGATTAAGGTCTTGGACGGGAGAGCTGGTTATGCAGTCTTAAAGGGCCGCATTTCAGTCACTATTTCGTATTTATTCTGTTGTCTGACAACAGAAACAGTAATATATATAAATGAAAACAGTTTTATTGAGAATTTGGCTGCATTAAAATACAGTATGTGAGCACAGAGAGACAAACAAATGTAAAAGGCAACAGACGCGCTGACGTCATGAATATGCTAATTAGTGTATGATATGACGTCATCTGGCGACATTTAGCGACTTTTCAAACTGGCTTTAGCTACTTTCTATTGAAAGAAGTTGGCAACACTGCGCACATGCGCTTTCAGACCGCATGTTAGGTAACCTCTCGCGCACGTTACGTGCCCTGACACACTTCCAGTCTTCCACCGCTGGTCTGTCTGTCTGCATGCTCAACATAAACACGACCGCTTGAGACTTCTTTAAAGACCTATTTCCAGGATGTCCGCTTGTCGTACGGTCATATGTCTGCTGAGGAACGACCTGCGTCTGCATGATAACGAGGTACTGTAACAGGAACAAAGAAGCGTATGTTTCTCGAGCAAAACACACTCGCTCCTAAATCAATATGCTTAAAGGGGTCATATGATGCTTTTTTAAAGATCATTATTTTGACGGTTACTGAAACCACGCCTTCTTTCTTTGCACATTTGGGCGCATTATGCAAATATTCCCACATAGTGACCTAGATATGTGGGGGCGTGTTAGAACGAGCCGTTTTAGGGGGGCGTGGCAGAGTCTTAACTTTGATAAAGAATATCTCTTTGGTTTTGAGACTTTAGTCTTTGCAACTTCAGGGATCTTATCTATGCACAATCAGCTTGTAACACTACAAAGAGAAAGGAAAACTTGAAATCGCATCATATGACCCCTTTAAACGTTATTACATGATACGCTGCTCGAGATATAACAAGTTGCAATTATTCTCTCACTATTCTCATTATTTTAACCATAAAACAGAACACGTGGGAATAATAAATGTAGTTCGTTTAATCTATTTGAGTTGCAAAACATCATGTCCATATGAAGCAAAATCTGGGCGCTCATTGGGTGGTTTGTCGGTAATCGTCACAAGGGGCGTGGCCACATGCTTGCGCTTATATGGAGGACTAAACTTGCAAATAGATATAGTCCCGGTTTCACAGACAAGGCTTAAACTTAGTCCCAGACTAAAATGTAAGTTACTCTGAGCTGTTTCAACTGAAAGAAACGTGCACTGATTGATCTTAAAAAATATCAATGCCTTTGTTTTGTCTCAATAGGGACACAAGTAATGTTTTTTACTAAGTCACATTTATAAAAATTACTTTAATGTCCTATGAACTATGGCCTAATCCTGGTTTAGTCTAAGCCCTGTCTGTGAAACCAGGCCATACTGTTTATAATAAATGACTCGGTGCATAAATATATATATATTTTACATTCAGCCGTATTTTTAATGCTGTCTTTAATTCATTTGTTTTTTGTAATAATTGAATATATTTATATAGTATATCTCTCGCTCTCTCTCTGGCAATAACATTTAAAACTAAGTAAATATAATAAATTATTACAAATACAAATGAATTAAGGGGAGAGCTTTAATACAAAAATGGAAATTACATTTATTAAATATTAAATAATATCTAATGTTTGAATTATATTTATTCAATTTAAAAGTACTTTATTGGCATGATTGTGTTTACATACGATATTATGTATGCATGTAGGTATATGACACCTAGCAAACCTTTAATCTGTTCAATTAGTAAACAAATGTTAATTCTATGAACTGGGCAAATGAACTGCAGTGCTTGCTTTGACAAGTTAAGCTTTGTTGGACCTATTAGAAAAACATGACAAACTGGTTTTGTTTTACCTCATTCATCTAGGTGTTTCATTGGGCTCAAAGGAATGCCGATCACATAATCCCCCTCTACTGCTTCGACCCCCGGCATTACCAGGGCACCTATCACTTCAACTTTCCTAAGACTGGTCCATTCCGTTTACGTTTCCTCCTGGACAGTGTGAAAGACCTGAGGGCCACACTGAAGAAACGGGGCAGGTGGGAATTTCATTACACACTTTCTGTCTACATACTGGTGTTATATGATTAATATGTATTTATATGCCTTTGTGCAGCACACTGTTGGTGAGAGAAGGGAAGACGGAGGATGTTGTTAGTGATTTGATTCAGCAGCTGGGTTCAGTCACAGCTGTGGCTTTTCATGAGGAGGTGCGTTTCAGAGCCATTAACAGCCAGCACTGATCATATAGGCTCTGTGGCCACATATAGTGCTGAAAGCTGGGAATGTAAAGTGCAGTCTGACACTTTCTGTCTATTTCCTGAAGGTGGCGTCAGAGGAAAAGTCAGTGGAGAAGAAGCTAAAGGACATCTGCTGCAAAAACAAAGT